CTGGCACTGAAAACACTGCGGAGCAGAATACAGTTGTTGCACAAGTAAAGAGGTTTTTGAATTGTGATCTTAACACAAAAACAATGATCAGTAAGCCAAAGTACTATCAAGCCACAGCAGCTAAGCTTACCATCCTCATTTGGTTGGGGTAACTGGCACCTTGCTGTAGGCAGGAGCATTTCTGGCAGATTGTAAAGGTGCCTTTGTGAAGGCAAAATTCCTAATTCCCAAAATTCCTATACTCCAAAAGTAAGATCTGGAGTATAAAATGTTAAGAAGTGTCACTGGTTTCTGAGAATGGACTATGCAGACTCTATTTCTATTATGAAGACTGTTAAATGTTAAGACTTGTGATCTTAGGAAAAAAAGAGTAGTGAATACAATCAATATACTTGTTTTGTTTCTGGTTTTTTTTTTTTTTTTTGAATCAAGTACACATGAACCTTAGTAGCATTTTTCCTTCTCTGCGACGGAGAAGAAAAGGCAAGTTAAACTACAAGAGGAAAAAAAATAGTGGGCAGAACAAAATCCCTTCAAGAGAAAACATTTCTAATATGACACAGAAGCAAAAGGACAAGATATTAAAAGAAAAAAAAGCCTCTTTTCTTTCCCAAATCTCTGTCCACACAGTGCTTCAAAATTAAAAGCCTGCCCACATAGCAGAACAAAGTGATCAGAAAAGTTTTAAAAGTGCTGCAGCACATTGCTGACTTATTTTTAAGATGACTCACCTATTAGAAGAGACTCCCCTGAATGGGATTCCATAATTGGTTTTGACAGGGGAGGTTTTGATCTGTGGGAAGAAGGAAAAAGCATCTTTGAGCAGCTAAGCTTGCTTAACTGTATGCTTATATGTACAGATATATATATGGACAAGGGAATACGTCTGCCATCTACTGGAAATTAAAATGTTTGCAAGTGAGACTTCATAAGGTAGTAGACTTTTACAAGTGAGGATACAACAAATCTGCCGTCCCTTTTCCCTCTCCCCAAAAAGGAATCCAAACAAAAACCAACGTCTTGAGTCTCAAGCTAATATCTCTGGAGAAACACAGACACTCGCTGTAGGTGTTCTCCAGGAGCCTTAATTTAGTCACTGAAACAGAATATTCAGTGTCAGTTATCCTCTCTCTATTTCAACATGTGAGTCTGGGAATTTATGGCCATCTTTAGTAGTAAAAGCAGCAGATTTAATTGCCTCTAGTGATCTTGAGGCTTCCCCTGTCCCTTATATTTTTCTCACTCAAGTGAAGTCTGCTCTTCCCCTACTAAAGCTTCCACTTAATTCCTCCAATCTGAAACAGTGGCTGGATAGTTTCATGTGTGATTTGGTTGTATAATCAAAGCTTTATTTTCCAAATCCTAGAGGATGAATTGTTTCTTAGAAGGGGGATGTAAAAATTAACACCCAGAGCTTGCAATTCATGACATTCTGCTAAACTGAATCTCGTTTCATATAAGAAAATACAAACAATAATACTTACTTGATATTATGTATTTTTCTTGCAACTATCATTGGAAAATCCACTTCAAAATATTTTTTAGGGAGAAGATTTTCATCCTGAGAAATGGAGTAAGAGTTTTGCATTAGGAAAGTTTCACTTGCATATGAGGAAAAAAAAATCTTTATGCTCCGGGAAGTTTTGGGTTCATTACTTCAGCATCCCTAATAATAGTTAGTATACCTTAATGACTGTCAGCTTAAAAAAAAAAAGTCAAGAGATATTAACACGTCCCCTAAGCATTAAGAAGAAAATTCATTTTTTATGTTATGTGGCTGTCCTAGACATAAGATCACTAAAACATAAGTTCTAAAAATACACTACCAGGATTTAAGAGAGCACAGCAACAAGAAACCATTATATTTTACTGTGCATCTCCAGTATACTCTAAAAAAAAAAATAATGAGGAACATTTTGCATGGGTTTACACAAAAAGTAACTAAATTCTATCACTTTTCAACAAACTGTCAACCAGAATACAAGAAGAATTGGTATTTTTCTTTTACAAAAAAAGTGGAAAATTCTTTCATTTCATACTGTCATGCATGGTTTGACACCTGATAAACTGTGCCAAATCTCTCCCTGGCTGCAATCCTTTTATGATGAACACATACTGCAAGTTCCAGCTTGTCAATCTAATGCATTTCGGAACAGTAGCTCAGTAGTCAAACAGTGAAGCATAAGATTAACTGGGTCCCATTTACAAAGAACTATTTACAACAAAATAGAAGAGCTGGAATTAAGGGCCTCGGTAACCTAAAAATTTCAGTTACAGGGAATTTTAGTAAAACTGTACTGACATAGTTTCCATAGCAATGCAAGTTAAAAAAAAAAAAGTCTCTGAAAGAAAAAATGTGTTTTGTGACCAAGGGAAGTGAAACTAGCCTCTTTGGCTTTCACTCACATAACTTTACAGAAGTATATGGTTATGAGAAAAGCTAAGATACTTTAAAGATAGATGTACTCAAAATTATAACACCTTTCTGGAATTATAGCCTGAATTGCTGCAAATTACAAAGCAGTAACTCAGAAACTGGTAAATAGGGCATATATAACCCTATACATTGGTACCTCACTTCTGTCTTAATATGGGATTAGAAAAAGTCAACTTCGGGGGGCAGCAGCACGTGATGTTCAGGCTCTGTTCCTGGAAGCCCACTCGAGTTCACCTTCCTGTGACCCACTTGGGAAAAGCTGGTGAAAACATCATCTCACCATAGTGTCATCCAGTGATACCTGAACAAATCCTAAGCAAGTTGAAGCAAAGCTGAGCCTGGCAACGTGCCACCCTGCCGAGCTAACTGCACGTGCCCACGCTGTACTGCAGCAGACAGCTCCGAAAAGCGCTTCAGAGAGCTCCCCGAGCCTCCATCCGCGACCGGCGCTCCCAGTTTACGCTACCTTCAATCTCCAGAACAGAGTATCCATGCCAGCACCAAGATTAACAATCTGACAGTTGCATTCTGTCTTCTTTAGAAAAGCCTTGAGCAGGTGACTGACACCATGAACACGAGCGTAATAGCCTGTTAGGAAGAAAAAAAAAAGCTTATTATTTAAAATTATTATTTTAGTACAATATTGACTAACACATTCTGAGATTATTACACAATTTCTAAACTCCTAACTTATCAAAAAAGTGACTCCTGGTATGAACAATACACTCTCTTTAAGATATCTAAGGCTGTTGTTTTCAATTGCTGACGAATTTGGACACACTGAAAAAGGAAAAAGCAGTTTCTTGCACAAATTAAGCTTTACTTGAGTTTTACCTTGACTAGAGCAGCCTAATTCTAGGCAGGGGGACTCCTAAACCTTGCAGGGGCCATTGCTGGCCTGCAGGGCACTGCTGCCCTGGGTCAAATCAGCATTTTTGATTGTTCTGTAGAGATTACCATCCTTTAACTGCAACACACAGAGACACTCCACTCAGAAGACTGAAAGCAAAGGACGATGTTTTTTATTATAAGGATCATGCAATTGCCAGCCTGAATAGTAATTCCATCATTCTTTTACACACTTCCTACATTCGGCAATACCCAGCACGAGAAGGCTTTGCCAGCTGCTCTTCAGGACTGCTTGAGGATACATTTGCATGATCTTCACCCACATCCACATGCCAACTTGCCTCGATTGATTTCAGGTGCTTTTCTTTCTTTGGCTTGCCTCACAAAATACTGGATGTAGGGGTCCTTCCAGTAGCCAACACTTACAGCAAATCTGACAAGCAGAGGGAAAAAAATAGGAGAAGAATTACAAAATAATGCCATCACGACTTACTCACGGACACACAAGCTGAAAAGGTCACTGCCACTCTCCGACCTGTGTCTACACATGGCCAAGACTTCAGCACCTCGCTGAACGTGAGGAACTGCTTCGCATTGCAGCTTATACAAACAATATGGTTAAAACTCTATCTGCCACTATGTTAAACAAGCACCTTTTTAACATCCTCTGCACCAGGGTCTCAAAGAGTTCCTTCCTAAGGACCGGGCAGGGAACTGCCAAGTTCCCAAGGCCGCTCATCTGGTGCCTTTTACCTCTGCACATCATGCACTGCCGTGGCTTATTCCAGACACCGCATCACAGGCTCACAAGAAGGGCAGGAATAAGAAGCCAGCAAGGCGGGAAATTCACACCCACGTATAACAGGGCAATAAACCTCATCCCCGCCAAGCCTATGGCCAGCAAAGATAAGGAAATAGTTCTGGAAAACATCAAGAAGCTTTTCCGGGGGTGCATGCAACACGCCGCCAGAGCTCGGCCTCGCAACGCGCACGCAGCTCTCCAGCTAAACGCAGACTGAGGGCAGGGCGGCTGCTCACGGCGGGGCTGCTCGGCCCCGTTTTAGGGCCGGTTGGGGCACAGCAGCGGCTGGAGCTACCGGGGTGCGAGCGCGGCGCGCCCGGGCCGGCCCTGCCCCGCGCCCCGGCCCGGCCCGGCCCGGCGGTACCGCTTGCAGACGGACGCGTCCTCGCAGGTGCCCCGCACCGCCTCGTCCGCCTCGTCGGGGCCGGCACCGGGCACGGGCTCGCGGGCGGCGGCCGCCATGGAGCGCGACGGGAGCGCGCCGGCCGCCGAGGCCCGCCCCCCGCCGCCCGCCATTGGGCCGCGCCGCTCGGCGCCGCCGCCGTGGCTGGCCCAGCTCCTTGTCAATTGGCGCCCCGGCCAATGGGAGCGCAGCGACACCCCGGAAAAGCCGCCGCGCCGTGAGGCGTGTCGGGAGCGGTAGTGCGGGCGGTTGCTAGGCGACGCCGCTCGCCCGCCGCGGGGAGGGGCGGGGGAAACGGGACACCCCCGCGCAGCCTCAATCCCGGCCCCGCCCCCGGAGCCGCCGGCGGCGCGCGCGGGGGAACGGCTGTGAAGGGCGGCGGCCGCATCCGGGCCGCGGCGCCGGG